TATTTGTGAGCTCTCTTGGTGTGTCAAGTTCAGGCAAGGAGAGAAGCCCAACCACCCACGCCATCTGCATTAGACCTTCCAAAAATAACATCATTGAGACATCAAGCATTCTTAATTCGGGTTATGGCATCATCTAAGAATGAAAAAAGCCACATTAGATTATTGGCTTGGGTCTGAGATTTTACTAATATTTTGGATTTCTATCTTATTCTAAAAAGGGCCATTTAATTTCCATCTTGTGAATTTTCCTCTCTAGCCCCTACACCAAGGAGAAAACAGACCTTCTGTTCATCCCAAAGGTATAGAACAGTACTGGCGCAGCTCAGGAAACAGGGAGCATAGCAGAGCTGCCTGTGAGACGGATAGGTGCTGTGCGCAATCCGCAGAGCTCCATCACCATCCGAGAGGCCTGCAATTCTCAGGGGAATCTTCCTGTGCATCAATACTTGAGATGCTTATGGAGGAAGGAATTGGGCCGCTGGGATGTGGGGGGAGGGAGTCACCCATGCCACCTATGAAACATGCTCCCAACATCCCACCTCGCACATGGTCTGCGTGTCCCGATGCCAGAGCTGAACACATAAAAGGTGGAAGCTTCTGACAGCGCCTCAGTCCACCTGCCTCCCGGGTGATCTGCTCCAGTGCCTGAACCAGGTAGAATGTTTCTTGGGGAATGGGATGGGCTCTCTTGGTGCTGGTGTTTTTGGCAGAAAGAGGCCCTGGGTTGAGGTTGAGGACAATCTTAAAGACAGACAAGGAGAAAGAACGGTTTGGAAGGGAGGGTTCTTCTGGAAGGGGAGGGTGGAAGGTAGGTAAAGGGGAGGGATTGGTGTCTTTTTTGAAGTTTTAAGGAATTCATTTGAAAATATGGAGTCCCTAGGTAGAAACCATCTGTATAGTTCTTGAAACTTGTCTTGAGAGATTGGATGTTTAAAATCTGATCATCATAGAGCAAGTCTTGTGAATTCATAGTTCAGTTTTAAATGTAAGGAAGTTACCTTGGGCTTTTATTGTCTTTCAGCTTCATTCGGCTTCTGCTAAGATGTCCTGCCAGCAAAGCCAGCAACAGTGCCAGCCTCCTCCTAAGTGTACCCCCAAGTGCCCTCCTAAGTGTACACCTAAGTGTCCTCCCAAGTGTCCCCCAAAGAGCCCAGCCCCGTGCCCCCCTCCAGTCTCTTCCTGCTGTGGCTCTAGCTCTGGGGGCTGCTGTGGCTCCAGCTCTGGGGGTGGCGGCTGCTGCCTGAGCCACCACAGGCCCCGCCGGTCTTTTCGTCGCCGACACCAGGGCTCCAGCTGCTGTGGCAGTGGTGGTGGGGGTGGCAGTGGCCAGCAGTCTGGGGGCTCCAGCTGCTGCCATAGCTCTGGGGGCTCCAGCTGCTGCCATAGCTCTGCGGGTTCCGACTGCTGCTCTGGGGGCTGCTGCTGACCTGGGCCATGAGGAGCGCTGAGGAGCCGTCCTGGCAGAGCCAGAGTTCTGAAGACCTGCGCCAGGCTGAGGCTTCTTTTCTCCGGTTTTCCCATGGAAGGGATTCTGAAATGCTTCGAGTTTCCCCCTGCATCCTGCCCATGTTCATCCCACTGTGGGGTCTAGAGGTTTAACCTCATACTCACTGGCCTGGTTTCTCCTCTCAGGCACAGTTCTTTAGAGAACGAGGTGTTAAAGTTCAGTTATGAAGCTCTTTTCCCTGTCACAATAAAACTTTATTCCTGATGTCACTGCCTCTGATTACGATCTGTCCGCCTCCTCTCCTCACACCACATCAAGCTGTCTTCCTTTCCCTTCTTTTAAGGGCAAGCGAACACGTAAAAAAAATCTGTTTGGGAAGCACAATTTGGCACTGAAACTACTTAGACCTCTGGGAAACAATATTCCCTTTTATGCTCTGAATTTGGGAAGTTTAAGCTTGAAGGAAAGAATCGTGTCTGGGACCATTACTCCTGACACAAGCTCACACGAGGAGAGCCAGCAATGGATTTGAAGAGAAGAGGATGGTGGTACCCAGAAAGGTCACATTCTGGAAGGGCTTCCTTGAAGTATGGGTCACAGTTTGAAAAATAGCTTTTTTCCTATTCACGGGGAATAAGACTGCCTAAAGTGCTCATTCTGGGCTCCAATGCATGGACACTACTTTTCTGATTATTATTTAATACAATCCCAAGTGCTTCCATGAGCTGGCTAGAGAGGAGAGCTGGGGGCAGGGAGTAGTTTCTGGGAAAGTGAGTTTAGGAGGCAGGTGTGAAATGTCTGAGTACATTTCTCTGCATCCTGGAATCCTGGATTTGGGTCTGAGTAGGGAACCAAGAAGACACCTTCCTCTGCCAAAGACTGTCTCCATGTGGTTGGTGTGTGGAAGGAAGTTACCTTGGGCTTCTATGGTCTATTGTGTGCATGGTGGGAGTGTGTGTGTGAGAGCAGGGGGACTTTGGTCACTGTTTTGGGTTCTGGTTAACATTCTTTCAGGAATGGGGTGGTTGTTTCAGGAGATATTCATAAGGTTTATGATAAAAAAGATAATGCCAAATCAGCCTTTTATATATAAGATAAGCAACTGGGTCCTCCTTTGATAAGAGTTAAGAGTGACAGGTAAAGCAAGTTAGTATATGAGGCCATAGCAAGTTCGCAGAATGAGCAGGCACTTGCCCGAAGTATCCCCTCATGTTGATTCCTATCAAACCTCCTTCTTCACTCTTAAAAAAAAATCAACAAAAAACACACAACCCCCCATCCAAAAAAACTTTGCACTATTTCCCAGAGGAGATCCTGCCTCCACCTTGTTACTTTATCACTTCCGTCTCTTTTCTAATACTAACCTCACTTCTTTGAATGTCTCACCTATACTCACCACCAGGTGCTCCAGGTACGGGCAACCTGTTAATCAGGCTCTAAAGCCATGTTAAATCAAACTGGTATTTTCTGTGACTTACCTTTCTTCATCTGTTCCCTCATGCTGCTCCCAGCTCACTCACCCCCAAACCTGTCTGTCACCATCAATTTTCGAATTCTTAGTATTGCACTCCTTTTATATCTCACATTCATGGTTGTGGGAAGTTGCATGATTAAGAAGCAGTTCAGAAGTTGGTTGACCACTAAAGTCTTCTCCAATTCTTAAAAGATAGTTATTCAAAAAACACTGTATATCATGGATACTTTGGACCTTCTAAAGGCACTTTTTTTCTTTTTGACCTTCTCTTCTCTTCTTTCCTCCCCTCCCTACCTTCCTGCCTCCCTTCCTTCTTCTTCCTTTCCCTTATTTCTTTCATTTCTTTTCTTTACCATTAGGCAGTGGCCCCAGCGAGAACCTATCTTCAAAGGGAGATTGGCAGGGAGGGGAGGGCACAGGGTAAGAGTTGAGGGTCCCACAGGCTGGTTTGCCTTTTTGCAATTGGGCCAGTGTCCCACACACATTTTTCTCTTAAGCCCCCTATGTTGAATTATGGGGATATGGTAACCTGACTATGTTCACAACTTTATAGGTCTTAATGGTTCCTTAACTTTGCCTGGGTTTTTCTTTCTGTCTCCAGTGACAGAGAGAAATAACCACTGGGATTCCCATATGCGTCCTCACCATCATCTTCACTCAGCTCCATCTGGAAGCATCTGGATGAAACCCAGCAGGCTTATCACATAGCCTATGGCCTGTCCTGGGGAGACAAAGACCAAGAGGCAGAGAGATGCAAACCAAGATAATAAGTAAGAGGACTACCGACTAGCAAGGAGATGATTACACAGCAACGGGCGTGTGGGCAAGTGCAACAATGTGTGTGTGTGTGTGTGTGTGTGTGTGTGCATTGTAGACAAGGGCAGAAGGGGCCCCATGTCTACCCTCAGCACATACACAGCCCTCCAAGCTATGAACAGTGTCCTGTTTGGAAAGTAAACACGCCAGAGCAATCCTGGCACCTCTGTGAAGTGACTTGGATGTCCACGTGCACCACCTACAGTGCTACCTGAGTGATGAATGTCTCTGGGATGTGAGTGTCAGCTGAGCATCTCTATTGGGAAATGGGCCCCTCCCAAGAGCCGGAACTTGACTGCAATCTTATAAAAGGTTCTCTGGCTGGACACTGCTCAGTCCACTGCCTGGAAGGTGGCCTGTTCCAGTTGGAGAACTAAGTGAGTCTTCCAGTGTAGCCAGAGTCTGGTAAGTCTCCAAGGGGGGGTCTGGGGGAGGGGAGTGGGAAGAGCTGAAGACAGGGGAGGAGGGAAGACAGAACATAGCCAACATGTAGATGTGGAGGGAGAGCCCTGGATAGCATCTTCGGCTTCAAACGAGCCAATCTCTCACGGTACTAATGAGAGCACAGAGGCCAGACAGGGGACCCCCAGACAGGCAGCTTTTGAAAGGTTACATAGCGAGTCTGTAAGAGCATTGACTAGAACTCGGGTTCTTGGATAGGACTATTTCTATTGTCTGCACCACTCTCCTTCTCCTGGTGGTTGTGGGGAACGAGAGGCATAAACGCAAAAGAATGACCAGGAGGACATGCTTCTGGCATTTGTGCATTCTTTAGACCCAGGAAGTAGGGACGCATGTGTGATCTGGGTATTTTCTAACTGATGGGGTGTTTATGCAATGCCAGTAACCATGAGAATATCACTTGAAGGTCTGTGGCCAAAGTGAAATGAGGCAGAGGAAAAGACAAGAGAAGATTCTGGGCTGGATCACACAGATCAATGGCCACAGTACCCTCTTTATTCTCCACCCTGGAGAACGTGGGTGGTCCTTATTCTAGTCAGAGAAAATGGAAAGCCATTGATTCTTTGCCTAGACTAGTTTGCCTACACATGCTCTATGCATGTTTAACTTACTGGCAACACGTGTTTGGGATTTGTTTCTCGGCTTGCTCTCTTTCTGGGTGCTTTTTCCCCTCTGCACCAGGCCAGGCTGGTGTACATTAAGCCAAATCTCAAAAGCCCTGAGTTCTGTTGTTGCAAAGAAAGAGTCTGTTCGTGTTAGAAAGGCTGCCTTTCTTCCAGGTTCGCCGCGAGGAGCTCCGCGATGTCCTCCCAGCAGAGCGCCGCCGCCGCCAAAGGCTTTTCCAAGGGGTCTTCGCAGGGTCCCGCTCCGTGTCCCGCGCCCACGCCCGCCCCGTCCTCCTCCTCCTCCTGCTGCGACGGCTGCTGCGGCTCCGGCGGCGGCTGCTGCGGCAGCTCGGGCTGTTGCGGCTCCAGCTCCGGCTGCTGCGGCTCCAGCTCCACCGGCTGCTGCTGCTTTCCACTGAGGCGCCGCCGGCAGCGGGGTCGCGGCTGCTGCTGCTGCGGGGGCGGCAGCCAGAGGTCCCAGAGCTCCTGCAACGCGGGCTCCCGCTGCTGCTCTGGCGGCTGCTAAGACGGCCCACGCCCCCCGAGAGCTGCGCTAGGGCGACCCGCCCAGCGGAGAGCTTCCCTTCCGCTTCTCCTCCCGGCAGTGATGACAGCTCCCAGGCGGGCCTCAGAGCTGCTCCCCCGTCCCCCAAAGCTAATTGCACTTTGATGTTCAGAAACCCATCCTGTTTTCAGGCCCCACAAAACTCTCTGACTCCCATGTGACTTTTCTCCCTGGGGATCAGAGAACCATGGGTGGGACACTGGACCCTACTGTCTGCAGAGGGTTGCACACAGCAGGTGTTCAATAAATGCCCACTGATTTGATTGTTCTTTGAAGATGTCATAATAAAGCGTCTACCTCCTGACAACTGCTTTCCTATTTGTTCCTTCACTTATGTTGTATTTATTAACTTGTTCTGGTACCCCATCCACTACCTCTCACTCAGGCCGGATAAAAAAGGCTTGGAAAGTTCGTGAAAGGCAGAAAACTACAATTCATGCCTGGACAAGAACGTGGCTTTCTGGTAGTTAATTATGATAGCGGTGATCACATATTGACTGTTTTAAGTATTCTAAGGGCTTTACATGAGAGACAGCTTCTAATTCTCATAATGACTCACTGAGGTGGTACTGTTATACCCATTTTATGAAGAGAAACTCTGAGGTTAGGTAACTTGCTCAAAGTTACTCAGTGGGTGCGTGGCGAAGACTGGACATCTGATTCCGGGGCTTATGCCCCTCACTGTTCCCCTTGGTCCCGCCTAAGGCTTTCTAAGCCTTACCACTGAGGCGCCCACTCTCCTGTCCACCAGGTGCAGACAGCTGTGTGCAAAGGTTTGAATTGGCAAGTCCTAGGGGCTTTGGAATCAGGCCAGCTGAGTCTTTTATTTTGGCAAGGAGGATCATTGACTCACTGCTTTGCTTGCTGGGTGAGGAAACTTTTCCCAAACTGAGACTTTTAGGAGACTAAGAACCACCCTCTCCACGTCTCATCTGTGCACTGAGGCATGACCAGGGGCCATGAGTTTCTGGGAGTCTCTGGGGTGCGCCATGCTATGATCAGACATGGGAATCTCACTCTCTAGAGATGGTGGTTGTGGCGGTGGCAGGGTGTGTGTGGGGCTGTCATCCCAAATAGGTCAGAAACCCAGCTCTATGGGCATGGATTTTACCCACTCATTTCAGGAAAGACGAAACAGGAGAACAGCATCCTCTGCATGATGTCTGCGGGTTCAGAAAGGAAGAGAAATGGTGATAATAATACTGACACTGGCTATCGTTTATTTGGCAGTAACTTTGTTCTAGGCACAAAGCAAGGCTTTGTTTTTTACATATATTAACAACGTGAGTTAATATATGCAAGGTATTAACTTTACATATATTAACTCACTTAATCTACACAATAATCTTAAAATAAAGACCCTTACTATTTATATTAATATGTGGGGGTTCAGAAAGTTCCAGTGACTTGGCCGAAGTCACATAGCTAGTGAATGTCCAAGGCCCCCCAATGGCGAGTGAGGAAGATGAGATTCGAACCAGGACCTGTCCGCCATGACTGTCCCAAGTCATGCCCTCACACTCAGAGTCATGCTCTACTGCTTTAAGTCACCACCCCCCAGGGGACATCACACTCGGGCCTCTGTGGGCACACCCAGGCTCTTAGAAAATTGCAGCTTGGCTTCTTGGTTGCTGCTCCCTCAGTGACCCAATGACTGGTGAGCTCTGTCATGGCATCCACCCAGCAACGGCTGCTGAAGGTGTCAGCTCAGAGGCGAGGTCGGAAATGCTCTGTTGATTCACCGGATGTTTAAAGTTGAGGCCAAATGACCCCTTGCCAGGGAGGCTCTGGAGGGCAGTCCTGCCCTGCCCAGGAGGGGCCCTTACTTCCATCCCTGAGATTCTGTGATTACCAGTGGGAGGTGATTTGTGGAAGCTGCTTATAAACAGATGATGTCACCTATGGACCTGCCTCCCCCCACACTGGTGATGTGTGTTGAAGCAACAAGCCCCGGGACCTGGTGGACAGCAGGGCAGGAAGGGAGGACTGTGTGACTCGGAACAGACAGACTGGAAAGCCAATCTGAGAGTGAGGGCTGGCCCTGGAGCAGGGAGCTGCGGCCTGAGGTTTGGGCAGGAAAGGTGGTGACTCACTGAGAGATACGCAAATCTGAACAGGGAACGTGCCTTGCACAACAGTCATGTTGGTATCCATCAAATGGCTGGCCGTGAGCACAGTGGCCCCACCAGGCCTACGCATGTCACTGAAACCCAGCAGGCCACCACAGGTGGACTTTGATGACAGACATTTGGGCATTTTAAGAATAGTTTTATGTCAGGAACCCAGAAAACTACTTGGATGGTCTAGAGCCCTCTGTTCATGGCCCTGCAGGCCTTTCTGATTTCCCGTGGTAGGTAAAGCTGTATGTGTGGCCCAGGCATTCCCTCTTAGATGGCAGTGGTCACACCCCAGCATGCTGGGCTTGTGGGGAATTTGGCAACATGCAATCCTACTCAAAGGTTGTCACCCAGTATGCTGTGACTGACAGAATCAGGTTTCCTATTATCTTTGGAATAGATGGACAGTATTATTGAATATATTTTATTCACGATGGCTTCAATTTCAGCTGAAATTATGTTTATTAGAATGGCAATAATAACAACTGATATTTATGTAGCACTTAGCAGTTTATTAGGTGTTTCCATATATATTATCTCTTTCATAATGCTGTAAGTAAATATTATTATCTCTATTTAACATGTCAGGAGAGGCTCCCAGAATTTAAGTTACCCGTCTGAGGTATCCAGCCGACACAGGGCAGTCTCTGTTTGGACCAGGCCTGCTAATGCTTCTAAGAGAGGCAAGAGCCACCTCTTCCTAATATGCACTAAGAAAATTGAATAATATCACCTAAGTAATTATTTAGAGACAGTGCTACATTCATCATTGCATTTCTAGTTTCTAGCATCATGCCAGGTACATATTAGGGATCAGGAAAATATTGTCCTAAAGAATTCTAGGGAAATGTACAAAAGCATTTCTTGACCTCAAGGAGTTTTTAGTCTGATTCAGAAAATGTGGTAAATAATCATAGGAGATATGAATGATAAATCAGATCCAAAATACAAGAAATGTCACAGCAGAACATGGCATAGGCAATTGCTATAGGGAGTCAACTGAATTTAGGTGAGGAATTATTATAGGACTTTGAATGAGGGCAAGTTACTGTGGACTGGAATAGTCACAAGACTTCATGGGAAGAAGAAACTGGGCTGGGTCTGAAGGATGGAAACACATCAGACAGGCAGAGATTCATTCATTTATGTATTTGTTCAACTCTCTCAGCCACTGTTTATGGTGCTGGGACAGAACCAGGAATGAGTCCAAGACCCTGCGGGCATGGACCTCACTTTCCGGGGCCAAAGACAAGAAAGTGAGCAAGAAAGTCAGATTATTTCACGTAGTGAAAGTGTTGTGATGAAAATAAAGAAGGTAGGGGTAGAAACACTAACTAGAGGTATGTGGGGATTTTAGATGGGGCCAGGGAAGGCCTCTATGAAGAAGTGCTACTCAGGCAGAAGAAGTGGGAACCATCACACAGAGCAGGAAAGCACGTGGTTGGGGTGTTCCTGCCCCACTGGCAGCCTGGGGCTACAGGTGTTTAAGGGACACTTCCAGTTATGTTGTCCCCACTAGAGACTTTCACTACTGGAAACGTAGCTTGGAATCCCAGCTGCTGGGCACACAGGTTTGCCATTGAGATGATCATATACTATCAGCTTGGCTTTATTTCATCTGAGCCTCACAACTCCCCACATTTTGTTGATAAAAACCTGAAACACAGAGCTTCGTGGCTTGTAATTGACAGAACAAGGTTTTGAACTGGGTGTGTCTGACTCCAAAATCAATGTTCTCACACTGGGAAGGTGGGGAGTAGTCTCGAGCTTGGACCGAGGGAGGAGAATGGGGACTCAGGGTTGTGGTGGTGTTCTAGAAAGATCCTGAGGACACATCCTCAGAAAAGGAGAGAGGAGGCCAGATCATGGATGGTTGTGAGTGCCACGCCAAGGAGGTTAAACCGTGTCGTATTTATGGGGTGTGGTGAAAGGAAAATGAAATTGCTTTACATAACATCTACAGTACTTTTTGACTTAAGATTAACCAGGCGGCAATGACTAGGGTGCTCTAGAAGAGGAGGTGAATGCAGAGAACACGCACAATGGCCTAGGTTCGAAATACAGCTCTGAACCTGGCATGTGGCAGTGGGTAAGAAAAGGAAATGACAGATATGAAAAGCATTTGTCCAGAAGGAAGTAGAATAGATAGAACTGGGTGATGTATTGGGGTTGAGGAAGAGAATCAACTCGGGTGTCTCCAAGGCTTTGTGCCTGGTGACTGGGAAATGACGACAGCATAGACAAAATAGAGAATTCAGAGGAAAGAACGGGTAGGGGAGGAAGAGAGTAAGTTTGGTCCAAGATGTGGGTTTGAGGCTCTGGCAGGACATGACCATGAGGCAGTGATGTGGGGCTGGGACCCCTGAAAATCGAGATAAACACAACTGAGATGAATGGTAATAAGCCATACAGAGGCAGGGAGTCCAGTTCTTGGAATGAATGAAGCCAGTCTCACGTCTGCAGCGAAGGCTATGAGAAAACAGACCTGGTCTGTCTTGTTCATTGCAGTAGCCTCAGTGTAAAGAACAGAGCCCAAGATAGCAAAGGCACTCAATGAACGCATGTTGAATGAATACGTGAATGATTGAATGAGAGGCAAGACGGAAGGCCAGGAGTTGAGTTGAGTGGAAACTGAGCAGTAAGGAGGAAATCGAGTTCCAAGTGATGAGGGCAATAACTCAAAGATTTGTCCTAGACAATTTATAAGGCTACTGTCAACTCTTAGGTTCTAGAAATCCAGGCAAAAGAGAACCAGGGAAGTAGGATGTCATCCAGTGAGGATCATCCTTCCTAGAGCATCATCTGTCTTCGGTATCTTGAAACCCTTGAACAGTTATAGTAAGA